TCTGACATGAAGTCTCCAATTGCCCTCCTGATGACTATCTTTCTGGAACATTCTATTCTCTCCCTACCTATCTGCCCTTTGGACTACTTTTGCAAGAGCTGACCATTTGCCCTTGAAAATTCCAACTCCTGCCCAGAAAGAAAGCATCACTGTCCGCCCCACTGCCCCAGGCCTCTCATTCCATCTGCTCTCCGCGTCCAGGTGCCACACACTGAGCGGCACAGGCCACTCTGTTCTAGGTTCAGGGCTCAGAACTCTTTGTCCTCGTCTGCCAACACGCTGGGCTCGATCTTCCCGACCTCAGGAAGGTTCTTCGTGGGAAGACGCTCTGGATTCAACACACTTACATTCAGCACCCTCTCAGGGCCTGGGTTTCCTCAGAGGGCTCGGCACACAGCACCCTCTCCTCAGAAATCTAAGTCACTGTCAGCCTCTCTAGGGTTAGAAGGAGAAGGAAAGGACTTGAAGGACTAGGTCTCCTCCTGATACAGTAATTCTCTCTGCAGAAAGGCGTTCAGGAGAGCAAAGGGGGTGTGTGAGGTCAGAGGCAAAGAAAGGGGAGAAGAGGCAGTGGGGGTGGACACGCGCAGCTGTGCGGCTTCGCCGAGATGCTGGGAGGGCTGAACGGAGGTACTGACCTAAAGCCGGTCCCGCAGTCCTTATTCTTGTGTATCCACAGGCCCCCTAGGACCAATCTAAACTGACCCCATCTTAGCAATAGAGTAATTGAGAGTTTTTTTTCAGGAAACTTGCAAAGTCCCATGGCCAAAGCACTCTCAGAAGAGAATATCTTGGCCTGAAATGACACTGGAACCAAAGATTCTCCCCCTGATGGAACCACAGGCCCGGGACATGACCAGAACTTGAAAGTCAGACTCTCATCAGAGGTGATGATTGGCTGTGTTATTTGTTAACACTGGCTGCTTGGTAACTGAGTTTCTCGGTGACTGTAAAAAACTCCCTTTTTGGATTAACCTTGCAAGGGTCTTCTGACTCTGAAGAAAAGAGGCACTATTCCGTCTAGTCCTTCAGGACATTCCCAGGTGACTGGGGATTTCACAGAGGTATTGGGGTATCTGTTCGTGACGTGCAGCTGCCTCATAGGGACCCCCTTCTGAAGAACATATCTCATTGGGCCCCCATTGTTTGTGGCAAGGCAGATGGTGGTGGCTACCCACACAGGGCTTACTCATCTCTGAACTTTGTGGCTGCCAGAACACATAAGGGAAAAAGACGACCCTTTGGTTATTCTTGAGTGAGCTGTTTCTGCAAGTACACTATCAGACACTACACACTATCCCCTAGTAAGACCTTGTTTGCTGCAGCCGTCTTGGAAAAAGCCCCTTAAAATGGAAACAACTGTAAATGGCTGGCAAGATAACCCAGGATAATTTAAAATTACAGTGTCTATTCTGGCCTCTCTTGAGCCTCCAAACTGAGAAGCAAGGAAAATATTTAATCTTTAAAAAGTCCAATGCATCACCTTCTGGCACAATTGCTCAAAACTTAAATGTTCTGGAAGCTGTAAATATTTACAAAGAACTGCAAGATCTTACTAAGATTGTTTCATGTCCTGAGAGCGTCACTTGAAAATCATGAGGGTCTCAAAATGTGGTTGGACAAAAATGTGGTTAGACAAAAATGTGGTTGCACCCCGTTTTGGGGTCAGAAATGGTTGGACAGAAATGCAGGTTGCACTCTTTTTTGCAGCTAAGTGTCCTACCAAGCTGCTGCCAGCCTCAGGGGAATTGCATTGGCTGTTAGAAGAAGTATTCTGATTAGATAAGATCATTTAAAAGTGCACTCAAAAGCAGACTTAAAAATTCCAAAGTAACCTTATTGAAAGTTTTGTTGCAAAAAGAAAAAATTAAGTTATAAAAGGTACCTAAAAGAAAAGCTTATTAGGTTGTGGCTTTACAGACAGCTCA